CAGCCCCAACAGCCCCCTGCTTGCCCCAGGCTGCCCCTGCCCAGGCCGGTCCAGCTCTCTTCCCTTCCTGACACATGCCTGCTGCCCTGGAGGACCCCGGCCAGTCCAAACCCTGCTCCTCCTGTGTTCTGCAGGTCGTCTGTGGCTGTTGGGAATCCTCCCTGATGATGCGGAAGTAGGTTTAATGACATTTCAGAAGCCCACCTGCTACTGTCCCATGGCGATGACCCGGACGGCCCCCGGCACCTCAACACGCCAGGATTTATAATAGCAAAAACCAAAACAGCCTAAATGTGCAACAAGAAGACAATAAACTTCGCCACATTAATTCTGGTACTTCACTGAAATATGGAAGAACGATAGTGACACAGTGACATCCGAAAAAACTTCTATGTTAAATAAGAATGAAGGGAAAACTGAAAACCGAGATGTGAGATGGTCCCGTTCCTGTGGTTACCACCGTGGGAAGAGGATCCAGGCCACCACGTGGCAGTTCCACCTGCCTTCCTACACAGTCACCCCAAGGACAGAACCAACCAAGGAAGAGTTTGTCAGTGACCAGAGAGCCACAGGGACTCCAAATGCCGTGCTTATTCGGCATCTGGGGACACTCAGGACCAGAATCAAGGGGCCTGGCACTCTGGCAAGTGGCCACTTCCCAGGGCATTGCTCCTCTGCCCACAGGTAGACGGAGGTGAGGGTGGGCAGTACCAAGAGCCACCTCCTTCAGAGGGTCTCAGCCCAGCCAGAGCCATCTGTTCATCCGTCCATCCATCCACAATAGCTTTGCACACGCACGCGCACGTGCACGTTCTAACGCGCTCACTCCTTTACCCCCCAGCTCGGACTCTGCGGCAGGAGGCCGTGCACGCAGGTGAGCGTGGACACCAACACTCCTCGATTAGACCATTCTCAGAAAAATCTTTGTCCCCATCTCCACCTTGCCCTTTCTAACACGGTGTGAGCGTTCCTTATAGACCAGGAGTGTTCTGTCCTTCTGGTCTTGGAGTACGGGCACCTACTCCTCGACCTGGAGACGGCCTGGGGTGGACCCAGTGTGAACACAACGTCCACTGATTTTCCACAAGAGCCTTAAAGTCACAGAGGAAAGTCCCTGTGCACAATGCACGCAGCGTGCCTGTGTCCTGCCGCGGGCACAGGTCAGGTGAGGGTCTTCCACTTGGACACCGTGTTGGTTTCAGATTTGGGAGTATTTTGCATTTCCGACTTTCTGATTGCGGATGTCGCACCTGTGCTCCTGGTGGAGAGGAATGAACCTCCTTTGGCTACAAACTTATTTGCTCCAACTTGAGAGTCCAAGCAGGGGCTGAGGACCCCTTCCACTCTGTACAGAGGGACAGTCTCGAGGACGAGGGCTCCAGAGATCCCCGTGGCTCTGCCTGTCGGGCTCATGCCAGCACTTGCCTAACCACCCACCCTGTTTCCTCTTTCCCCACACAAACCGCAGTTTTCCTGGGCCAGATACATCCTGACTTCCTCATTTCTTGGTCTAACCCAGATTCTCTAAGGCCTCTGAAGCTGGTGTCCTCCTGTGAGTCAGTCCCACCTGCCCGGTCTCGCCCCCTCCACGTGACTTCAGCACCTGGGCAGAACACGCAGAGCCATCGCAGCAGGGAGGTGAGGGAGAAGACCAGAGGGTGCTCTACTACCAGAGTGACAGGAGTCTGCCATTCACCCCAAGGAGAGCCCGGGAGCCAAACGCAGCAGCACTGTGGCCGGAGAGCCCCAGGCTTGGCTTGAGGATCGGGGCCTGGCCCCCTGGGGTCCCTTTTGTCCTCTCTCTCCTGCTCTCTGGGCCTCAGACCCAGTGATTCCAGCACATAGTGGGGCCTGTGAGCAGGGACCCAAGACCCTGAGGGCAGGAACCCTCCATTCCAGTTGAAGCCTCAGTGGCCAAGATGGTGGAAACCCCCGTTTCTCTCCCTGTCCTCAGGCACAGAAGCAGCTGAGTCCCAGCGAAAGCAGAGCCCTGTGTGAGGGGCCCTACCTCCTGGGGAAGGGAAGTGAGCCGTCCTCCTGTCGGGTTCTGCCAGTTACCCACAGTCATCTGGGGTCTGAGAACACTACACAGAGATTTTCAGAAATAAGCAGTTCTTAATGCCCTTCTGAGTAGTGCAGTAAAGTCTCAGGCTGCCCTGTTCTGACCTGCCCAAGAGGTGCAGCGTATCTACCCTGTGTATGCTACCCCACTGGTAGTCACCGAGCAGTGTCGGGCATCAGGTCTGGCACCATGGGGCTTGTGCGCAAGGGAACCTGGTCTTGTGTGTGTGTGTGTGTGTGTGTGTGTGTGTGTGGTACTAGGGTTTAACCCAGAGGTGCTCTACCCCTGAGATTTACCACTGGCCCTTTTGATTTTGAGACAGGATCTTGCTAAGTTGTCCAGGTTGGCCTCAAACTTGCAATCCTCCTGCCTCTGCCCCTTGAGTAGCTGGGATGGTATGTGTGGGCACTGGTGTTACTTAAATGGCCTCAAGTGAGGCAGTAGTGACAATGGTGGTTCCACTGCAGTGTGCTGTCACAAAGGTCCCTTTTGCTACTGCCATTTATGTCCTAGTGAGCCTGATCCATGGTCAGACTTCACCAGAGGTACGGAGGAATAGGAAGAAATCACGGCATCCACAGGGGGTCGGATGGGCCCACCCAGGATGGGGACACTGTGGGAGAACACGGCAAGGGTGGGCTCAGGACAGCTGCCCACAAGGTCACGGGAGCCCCTGGCTCACTCCCAGGCCACGCGGGAGTGACATGCGTCACTCTGGGCTCTGGGTCCTGAAGGCCAGGAATGTTCACCACCCGGTTGCAGAACAGCTGTGGAGTGGCTCACGGGGCCATGGGACCAGCCAGGCAAAGGGTGGGGACACAGCAGAGTTGGAGGCTCACAGGAGGCCAGGAGGACTCAGAACCTGACCCCAAACTGTCGGGGCTGCAAGGTGCCGACACTCCCCAGGGGCTCGGCAAGGCCGTGGCCCCTCACTCCACTCAGGACGTCGGGTCACCCCACTCCACAGCAGAAGGGCCAGGGAATGGCTGGGCGGGGCATCTCCAGCCAGGACGGCACAGCCCTGCCCAGCCGGCAAGGACATCGGGGCCACTCCTGAGGCCAAGGGGAAGCTCAGTCTGAGGAAGGAAAACGAAGACCAAAGGAAACAAAGTGGAAATTTTAGAATCGGAAACACAGAAATGGAAATTTAAAGACCCACTGGCTATGCTCAAGGGCCAGACCCAGTCGACAGAGCAGAGTCACGGGCACCAAGAGAGGGACAAACAGACCCAACCTGGACGGGAAGGAAAAGGGTTCAGAGGAACCGAGCCTGGGGACGGTGGGGGTGGGAAAGGGCCTGAGTGCCCCAGGAGGAGGACAGGAAGAGCCAGGGGGAGGAAAGACGAGCGGCCAAACCCCAAATGTGGCAAAGGGCATGAACCTGCAGACGCAAGCAGCTCGCTGAACCCCGAGAAATCACGCCGTGGAACTCCTGGAATCCAGGGGCGCCCAGCAAGCTCGCAGCCACGGAGAAGCCTGCGGGTGACGGGCAGGCAGAGGGCCCAGCCTCGCAGGCTTCCGGAAGTCTCAGAAGCTACAGGAGGGACCAGCGTTTTCTCTTCTTCATACCAGAGATTGAGCCTGGGGGCGCTTAACCACTCTTTATTTAGAGACAGAGCCTCGCTGAGTTGCTTAGGGCCTCGCCGAGTTGCTGAGACTGGCCTTAGTTTTGTACCAGGGATTGAAGTCAGGGGCACACGACCACTGAGCCACACCCCAGGCCTATTTTGTATTTTATTTAGAGACCGGGCCTCACTGAGTCGCTGAGCGCCTCGCCACTGCTGAGGCTGGCTTTGAACTCGGGATCCTCCTGCCTCAGCCTCCCGAGCTACTGGGGTTACAGGGGTGGCCACCGCGCCCATTGAAGCAGTGTTTTTTAACTCCTAAAACAACAGGTCATCTGGAAGCCTATACCCACCAATTTAAAAAATTCTTCCAGAATGAAACCCTTCCATGCCAATCAGCAGCCAGTGGACTTGCTCCCAATTTACCAACCTCCTCAGACAGAGGGGACCTGACACGAGGAAGCCCAGGACACAGAGGAAGGAGAGGAACACCCAACCAGGAAGCCCTGGCCAGTAGCAGGAGACTGCGTCTCCTCCTGAGGTCTTTCAAATACCCCCAATACTTGGAAACAAAAATTACAGGACTGGCTCCAGAGGTCTTTAGTGAATGCAGCTGTACCTGTGAGAACTACCACATAACGGGAACCACTTGGTCGGTCTGCACATCCCACTTCCAGTGGTAAGATACAGAGTGTGTGTACGCCAATACCCCTCGACACGCACACGCACCATACATAAAGCAAAAGCTCGACAGGGCCAGGGGCGGTGCCCGTGTCTTTACAAGGACTGGCAAGGCTGAGGCAGGAGGAGGGCAAGGGGGAGGCCAGCCTCAGCAGCTTAGTAAGACCCTGCCTCGAAATAAAAATGAAAGAGGGCCAGGACGTGACTCAGTGGTAGAGCGCTGGCCAGCAGGCACGTGGCCTGAGTAACTGAAACAGACCAACAAGAGCTGTCCTCAGAGGGAATGCTGAGGCCTGCTCAAGGAATCCTGAGGAGCCCGGGCAGGAGGGGAGGGGAGGAGGGGCCGCAGAGAACCCCTGTGGCAGCTTCACTCCCAACGGAAACAACAGAGCTCCGCAGCACTTGGAAACCAGACAGCCCACGCCTAGCCCCAAGGCCCAGGAGGAAGTCCCGGGAGCGCCCCTCCCTGCCAGCCTGGACCAGGGCCCTGGCTGCAGGGGGTGCAGCTCTCCCTCTCACCCCCTGCCGGACCCTCTGGAAGGACCCCCGCCATCTCCTGGAGGGTGGACCTCGCCTCACCTTCCTTGGAATTCTACACGGAGCTTCTCACCGTGAAACGTGGGGCGAGGAAGGGGACCTTGCCCAGCAGCCCCCTCCTGGGCCTGCATCTGTCCGACGAAGGGAAAACTTACTTCTCCAAAACCCTGCGCCCAAGGTTTGTCGCAATTCTCCACAACCAGCAGACACTGGAATCAGGCCCAGGACAGGGAGCAGGCGGCCCACCTGGGGGCCAGGCTCCTGCCTGCTCAGCCAGGGGCTCCTCTGCAGCCCAGGTCAGCCTCAGGCGTGTCACGCGGGCAGAGAAATCCTTCTCAGAGACCCATCGGGGCCACAATTGCATTCTAGGACCTTCTCCAAAGAGGGAGCGAAGCCCTGCCAGGGGTTGGCGACAGGGAGGTGTGGAAAAGATGGGAGGGCGGGCCCCAGGGAGCTTTGGGGTGAGGAAACGCTGTCCTAATCGAATGTGGTAGAGATGACACAAAGCTGCACATTTTGAAATGTACGGCAAAAGAGGTCAGATTTTCTGGGTGCGGCTGGTAGCTCATGCCTGTAATTCCAGCAACCCAGGAGGCCACCGCGGGAGGATGGCAAGCTCGAGGCCAGCCTGGGTGACGAAGTGAGACCCTGCCCCACAATAAAAGAGGAAAAGGGGCTGGGGAGGTAGCGCAGTGCTGAGCATCCGGGTGAATTCCCAGTATCTTAAAAAAAAAAAAGGCCAATTTTACTGTGAATTAACGCGGTAGTCCCTCACCTAGCAAAAGGGACCCTGGGACCCCAGCCTCCTCGGCTGCATGGCTGCAGCACTCACCAGGACCTGGCCCAGTGTGGGTCCTAGAGCCCTGTCCCTTCCTCCCAGCTCTTCCTGCCGAGAAGGGGATGAGTCACCCCAGCTCTGCCAGCCCCGGCTCCGGCTCCCGCCCACAGCTGGCTGCAGGAACTCCCGCAGCTGCAGTGCGTGTGAGGACCCTGAAACACAGGGGGGCCCGGGGACACAGGAGGCAGAGTGGGCTCAGGAGGCAGAGTGGGCTCAGGAGGCGGAGTGGGCTCAGGAGGCGGAGTGGGCTCAGGAGGCGGAGTGGGCTCAGGAGGCGGAGTGGGCTCAGGAGGCGGAGTGGGCTCAGGAGGCGGAGTGGGCTCAGGAGGCGGAGTGGGCTCAGGAGGCGGAGTGGGCTCAGGAGGCGGAGTGGGCTCAGGAGGCGGAGTGGGCTCAGGAGGCGGAGTGGGCTCAGGAGGCGGAGTGGGCTCAGGAGGCGGAGTGGGCTCAGGAGGCGGAGTGGGCTCAGGAGGCGGAGTGGGCTCAGGAGGCGGAGTGGGCTCAGGAGGCAGAGTGGGCTCAGGAGGCGGAGTGGGCTCGCTGGCTGAGCTCCAAGGCCCCAGCCAGGGTAGGGGGTGGAGATATGCCCGACAGGGCCTTCTCACCTGCCATGTCTCAGAGGGGTGCTCTGCACCCCAGGGGCCTCTTAGTTCTAAACTGCGCAGGGTAAGGAGCAGCTGAGAGGACAGCCATGTGGGGGAGCCCGGGCCTGGTGGGGGTGCCACATGCAGAGGGTGTCATGTGTGGAGGTGCCATGTGAGGTCTGGCTGACAAAGGCTTCCTTCCCCCCACCACTCAGGTTCTCAGGAGCAAGAAAAGTTTGTCTAAAGGTGTCTGGTCACCCCTGGGCGTGGGCACAGGACAGGACGAGAGTGCCCGGCGGGTAGGGAGCAGTCTGCCACTCTGCAGGGAGGAGTCACAGAGCCCTGGCTCAGCTGCAGCTGGACGCAGACCTCTCTGCACAGGGCTGGGCCCAGGCAGGTGGCGGGGTTCCAGCACAGGGACGCCAGGACCTGGCCCCTACCACCTCTGGGCCCCATCTTGTCCTTTCTCCTGGAGTGATCTACCCCAGTTTCCCACTGTGGCCTCATTTGCTGCAGAATGGGGGGTCCTCCTAGGATCCTCCCCCAGACTCAGCTTTAATGCAGCACATCAGACAGGCTTTGGGGACACAGCAGGCCCTAAACCACATGGAGGAGTCATCCCACCAGGAGCCTCTGATCAGACTGTCCCTGCTGGGTTCTTCCAGAGATCAGAGAGTGACAGAGAAAGGGAGAGGGAGAGGGAGGGGGGAGAGAGAGGGAGGGGGTGGGAGGGAGAGGGAGAGAGAGGGAGGGGGGGGGAGGGAGAGAGAGGGAGGGGGGGAGGGAGAGAGAGGGAGGGGGGAGGGAGAGAGAGGGAGGGGGTGGGAGGGAGAGGGAGAGAGAGGGAGGGGGAGAGGGAGAGAGAGGGAGGGGGGAGAGGGAGAGAGAGGGAGGGGGGAGGGAGAGAGAGGGAGGGGGGAGGGAGAGGGAGAGAGAGGAAGGGGATGCGAGGGGGAGGAGAGGGAAAGAGAGGGAGAGGAAGAGGGAGGTGGGAGGGAGAGGGGGAGAGAGAGAGAGAGAGAGGGAAGGGGTAGGAGGGGGAGGGAGAAGGAGAGAGAGGGAGAGGGAGGGGGAGGGACTGCTTGAGGGAGAAGGCCCTCCGCTGGTTGCTGTCTGTGGCTCCTGACTGCAGGTCAGCAGCGCCGGAGTGCTCTGAGATGAGATGAGCCCTTTTGTATTGAATATCTTCAAGATTTTGATGCCGCTCATTACAGAAGTTATGTTCAGTCACATTTTTCTAAAACCTTTCTTTCTGTAAAAACTCCTCTGAGTACAGATGGGCATTTTCAGACAAGTCAAAGAAGGCCCTGCCACCTCTTCTCTGCAACCTCTGGTACACCTCTGGGCACGGCTGTGAGCCCTGGCCCCCAGGGCCCTGGAGACAGAGCCCGGGGTGAGGAAGCCCCACGGGCTGTGCTTCTCCGATGGCGCACTGCTAGGACTCCAGGGTGCTGACCAACTGAATAGTAGTTGCCCCCCACTGCCAGGCGCCAAGTTAACGCCTCGCAACCTGACTTAAATCCCCAGGAACGCGGAGCTAAGTCTGTTACCACCCCCATTCTCTGGATGAAGACATCTCAGGCTTAGTAAGGTGGACAGTCCACTATGGAGGCAGGATAAGACCAAGTCTAGATGAAGCCACGCAGAGCCCGACGTCACAGCCCGCTGCACGTGGTGTGCAGGGGGCCCTCCCCCATCTGCTGTTGGGGTACAGGTGAAGCCAGGCTTTGGGTGTACCCTGAGTGTCCCCCAAGGGCTCACGTTAAAGGCTCCGTCCCCAGGATGGCACCACTGGGAGTGGCCGTGGACCTTCAAAAGCTGGGGCAAACAGAAGGTCCTCTGCAGGAGTGACCCTGCTTGTCCCCTCTGTGCTCAGGCCTGAGGTGGGACTGCTCCCACACCCACGACGCGCTGCCCTTGCCTGAGGGTGGCCCAGCCCTGGACCAGAACTTCCAAAACTGAGTTCTCAATAAGCCGTTCCTCTTTATGTCGCTGTCCTGGTTTCCGCTGTGGGACACGGGCTGCCTGCGGCACTCCAGACCCTCCACGGGGGCCGTGCACTGGGCGAGCTAACTGCCCTGCGCCAACGCCCAGGGAAAAGGCCGTCTGCAGGCTCCCGTTTGGAGAGGAGCCAGGCTGCTGCTGACTTGGGAAACTGGCATTTCCTCCAAAGCACTGGAGAGTCTGCTTCCCACTCCAGCTGAGGATGGGGCGGGGGGCGGGGGGCAGGTGAGAGGGACAGGGAGCCGGGGAAAGGACAGGCTGGACACAGACTCAAGAGGGACACTGAGCCACAGGACAGTGAGGGGCAGGTGAAGTCAGCCCACAGTCACAGCAGCAACTGCCAGCGTCCCCACCTTCCGCCCACCTTGTGCCCAGCAGGCAAAGGCAGGCCAGCTCTTGCCCTGGACTGGCTTGTCATCTGTGCTTGCACAGCCTGGGACTGCATCCCCCGGGGCTGATGAAGACAGCTGTCACCTCCCTGCCACTCACACCCCCTTTCTTCTTGGCAGGGCAGCATGGGGCACAGACAGGATAGAAGGTGTCACCCTGTAGACTTCGGGTGATTTGACAACTGGTGATTAAGTCCTGCTGGGTCCCAGGAACTGCCATGTGTCCCAGGGAAGCCAAGATGAGCAGCACGAGGCCCCTCGCTTCCAAAGGGGTGCAGAGGGTGACAGGTTCCAAAGGGGTGCAGAGGATGACAGGTTCCACACGTCAGCAATGTGCCGAGCACGCACTTGGGAGCAGAGGCCACAGGAGCACAGAGCCCGGTCCCGCCTGGGCACACGGCAAGAGATTGTCCTTGGGGGCAACTGAGCCGAGCCTGAGTGTGACGGGCAGGCAGGGAAGCTATTCCAGACCCGGAAGGCACACGGGCAAAGTGGCAGGCAGGAGGTGGTCTGTCGTGGCCCCCTGAGAAGATTCAGACGGAGGCGCAGCGGAGGGTGGGGGAGAACTGCGGCCCATTCTTGCATTTGGAAATGTCCCTGGCACCTGAACACTGGAGCATACTCAGCCGCTTCTCCGTCCTCTCTTTCTGGGCCTTCCCATGGGACAATTGTGAAAACGCAGTTCTGCACCTCAGTGCCCCTAGGCGGAGGGACTCCTGCTCCTGGGAGCCGGGGTGGGGGTGGGCAGACTCTGCAGGCGAGGAGGGTCCTGCTGGAGGGCTGCCTTGGCTTCCGAGGCAGCTGAAGAGCCCTCAGGACCATGTCAGGCGCAGGGGCTCTCGGGACAGCTCCGGAGCCCCCCCAGAGCCCCCCTCGGCAGCAGGTAGTCCAAGGTGCCCAGGGCATCCCTGAAGGCAGCTCCCGTTCAGCGTGTCCTTCCAGGACAAGAAACGCAAGGCAGGAGAGGGGGGTGGAGCTCCAGGCTGCTGGGCACTAATGACCTTCCTGATGTTTCCAAGGCACCTCTGAGCCGGCGGCCAATATGAGCACATGGAGCCACCAACGTGCTTCTTGCTGCCAGCCGTGGGCTGAGTGCTCCCTGGGGTGGCTCCCCTGTGCAGGGATCCTAGGGGAACCTCTGGCCTTACCCATCACGTGGCAGGAGCACCCCAGCTGTGACGACCACATGTCCCCAGACATTGCCCCCACCTGGAAATCCCTGCTCTACCTAAACCCCGAGCGGCAGCAACTCCAGAGTCTCATCCTCCAGCTGCTCCTGCTGCAGACCCCTCCTGTAGTCCTGCGTCACGGCGGATTAGGCCAGCAGAGCACAGACTCTGATGAAAGTCTCCACAGGAAACAGTGTGTTTGGTTCCAAGGAGCTTGTGCGTTGAGCTGCAGGGTGAGAACAGGCTCCACGTGGGTCTGCTCAGCCGCCCTGTGAGGAGTGGGCTCCACCGGCTGTTCCTTTAGCCATTCAAGAGCCTCCACCTGCTCTTACAGCACTGCAGAAACCAACGCCCTGGCCCACACGGCTTCAGGGAGCCTACCCTCTAGTCAGAGAGCAAAGGTGTCAACAGAAATCACAGCGCACAGCTCTGAATACAACAGGAGTATCTAACGGATCAGAGCTGAGCAGCCCACTAGGCTGGCCGCTGGCCACACATGGCTGTGAACAGACAGGGATGTGCGGACCACTTGGGAGTTCAGGCTTTAAATGAAAAGAGAACGTAAAATGTCTTCTTGATAACGTTGATGCCAACTGTGAGTGGAAATGAGATATTTTAGATTCACTGGTTAGACAAAGTCTATTAGCAAGCCGGTGCAGGGGTGCACACCTGTAACCCCAGAG